CTCCTTCAAGTAACCCCTCACTCACTGGAATGTATGGAAGTCCAATAAAATCTTTAGTTTCCCAAACAGCAGTTTTGAGAACTTAGACTCAGTTTCTCATAAGGACAGTGAGAGGAGGGGCTGAAAGAATTTTAGCAACAATTGACATGGTTGGCAGGACATGACAAAACAGAGGATGAGTTTGGGAAGAGCAATGGTGTCTCTGATATGGGGAAGGAGACCAACGACCAGGGCAAAGTTGCATGGGGGGAGAGTGTTGGCAGAGGAAATTTTGAGATGGTGGGCTATCCTCATAGGGCTGGTGGGGGTAGCAGCAGCAGCAGCAGCATGAATTGTGCAGTGGATAGTGAGTTGTGTATCTAGGGTGAGGCCACTCAAGTGGACAATGTCAGTGGGGAAAATCCCAGGATGACAGTCCTCTTGGTGGTGGTATGGAATGTCATGCCTGCTTGAGCTGTGGGGTCTGCCATGTGAGTATGGAGATGCTTTAAGAAGCATGGAAGGTCCTTTTCAAGGCCTAGGAGTAGTGCACCAGGGGCAGAAGTTGCATCAAGCTGCTGCAGAGACAACTTGGCTGCTGTTTTGCATAATACAATATCTTTCCCAGGTGGAGGAGATAGCCCTGAGGGATACTAATGGTATAAGAGAGGAATTCCATCAAGAAAGAGATGTGAGGCTGGCCTCCTCAGTACTGGCCTCTGATCTTGCCAGTAAATTGCATAAAAGAGAAAAGGAGCTTGAGGTATTAGCCTGCCATTTTTTATGACTAAGGAGCCAGAAAGGGAAGAGAGGCCAAATTAGATTGATTACACAAGATTCCTCCTGGGACCCCAAAACCTGGAATCCATGGGAAAACGTAGAGAGTTATGAGGAAGGGAGTGACCTAGAAAAAGCTAAAGAGGCCCCTCAGGTTTGACCTTTAATACAAAGAAAGAAAAAGTCCATGTTTCAGCATGCTGATGGAGACCTTAACAATGGCCAGTATGAGAGACTATAGTGATCAGCTCCCTGATGGAGCCGTTGGAGTAGAGAAGATTTTCAAACAAGCAGTGAAGGATCCCCTCATCACCTGGCTTGTGAGGATATGGGACATGGGAACAGATGTCATTAGTTTAGGTGCTGCAGAAACATTAAAGCTGAGCAATATAACCATCCATTCCTCTTTGAGATGTGGGCTGCATAACCTGAGACAGTACATGGGGAATTAGACCCGATGGAATGGCTTGTACAAGCCATTAGAGATACTTGGACATCACCAATGGATGTCCCCATGGATATCAGGGTCTGGAGGACCATAGCAGAGGGACAGGCTTTTCTGAGAGAACTAGGTATGAGGAGAGAAATGTATGATGCCCAGTTCACTGGGCCAGCTAGGACTTTATTCATCAGATATTTAAAGAAAACCTTGATTCAGCAGGGATCTTGAGATTGGTATGAGCTTTAGTGGCTTGGTTGATTCCCTTAGTAGGGCAGGATCTTTATGAAGTAGGAGAGGCTTTGGGAGACCTAAGTGATTTAAACCAACATGGAAAATATGTGTGTAAAATAGAACAGCCTAAAAGAGATGTAAAAAAGACAAAATAGAATAAGCTGTTTGTTTGTATTACTCGAAGGCAAATGTGGCAAGATTTGTGTCAAGCCCAGGTCCTAAAGAGAAAATTGACAAAAAGACCAAATACTGAGCTAAAGAGCTTCTAGAAGGCTTTAACATCTGAGGAACAGTTCACAAAGGGCATACAGAATATAAAAACTGTCCCAGGGATGGATAATGATCCCCCTAGACTAAACAGGATACATTTCTCTCCCGAGAAAGGTTATGCTAGGGGTGGAGGCAGTTTGCCCAGCTAGGGTCTCCCTCAGTATCCAGGTGTGGTCAATGGAGGGACAACAGGTATGGCTATATCCAGGAGTCAGGCCCAGGGCCTACCTGACCCAGGGAACCAACAGGTTCTGCAGAGACAAGAGGGTCCCTATTCCTCCTTGGCCCTATGCAGGCCCAAACAGCTTGAGCCAGCCCCAAAGAGTTTATCAAGGATAAGGAAATGCAGGGAGGCTCTATGTAGAAACTCCAGGATACAAAATGGCTGTAAAAAGATGACTGAAGATTAATGCCTCTTATCTAGCCTACTATACTCAACATAGATTTGTTGGGAACACAATTGATACAAATGGATAAAATCTTTTCAGGCTGTTTTTGACCTTGTTTATGTTTGATTTAGTATATAATGAGTATTATATACTAAATGAGTATTTTACAGATGTGAAACCCATCTGGGAGATATCAAGTACACCTGTAGAAACAAGGGCCAGGTATAGCTGTGAACTTCTTGGGAGCTTTATGGTTGGGTAAGGCATGAGTGATATCTACCAGGGTGGTTGGGAAAAGTTTACAACAGCCTGGTCCTATAGATGCCAGAGTAAACAGCTATCTTCTGAAAATAAAAATAAAGGTTCCCCCAAGCTATAAAATTATTAAATAAAAATTCCAGTACCAGGAATGGGTTGCCCCCCAGGGATGCCCTGGAGGCCCCCAAAATGATAGAGGCTATTGCCACTATTGTTGCCTGCACAGCAGAAGTAGCCAGTAAGACCCTATTGCTGAAGACGCACCATGAGTGTGGGAAAGGGAGAAGTCAAGCTGAGACTAAGCTGGAATCTCCCCATTGCCAGACGGCTGGCCTTCATAGTGCCAGGAAGTGCTATGCTGAATCACTAGGGGAGAATGGTCCCCCAAAGTTCTACTTAAAGACCTATGCCACATGCTGAACTATTGATATGCCAAGCGAATTGTGCCTGCTGGTGCAATATTGGCACAACTAGTATGTACAACCCAACTGACTAATTTCCAATTGGTTGTAAGGCCCACTCATCACAGAGGAACACAGAAGCCTGGCTAACCTCCAATGGCAGGGGAAGTTAGAGGCCCCAGTGGGGAAGTCATTGCAATTGTTTTCTTAGATGGATGTGACGTGCCTGCTAAGATACCCTCTAAGCATTTGTGTTCACGCCTATTGATTAGGTTATTACAGCAGTCAGTGTTCACTGAGACATTCCTGCTTCGTTTCATTTGTGTTTTTATGGTAGGAGGAATACCATTGAGATGGACCAACAGCCACATTTTGGAAACAGATGACGAAAAGGCCAAAGAGTTCAGTATCTCACCACAGTGGAGGGAGGATTGTCTATGTCACCCCCTCCAAGGCTCAGGGACTCTGGTGGAACAGGATGGCAAAAAGAACGTAAGATCTGGAGGAAGGTGTAGAGTGTGGCATAGAACTATCGTCTGAACATCAAACTTCCCAAGCCTGGTTGTACCCACTTGCTTAGGATCAGCACAAACAAATTTGACTGCTGCAACTCTGCAAGAAATGAGGGGCCGGGAGGGTCAGCCACGCCTCTCAACCAAGCAGTCCAGTTGGCCCGAGTTGCACAAGGTAGCAGGACTAAGAGTACCTAAGCTGGCGAAGCCCGGAGGGAGGGGCCCTCAATATTTTGTACAGTTGCTGGAAGGTTGATCCTTATCAGGATGGGAGGGAACACCCACAGTCCTGTAACGAACCCCTTACCCACTGCTTGGAGAAATTAGATCTCAGTTTGCCATAAGGATGGTGAGAGGAGGGGGCTGAACCTCCCAGAAGGAATTTTAGCAATATCCTTCCTCTTATTTAAAGAACCTGCATTATCCTTAATTAGCTAGTGAAGGGACTTTATAGTGTGAGATTCTACTCTCAGAGCAGGAATAATCAGACCACCCTGAGCTATTGTTTATGACTCCCCAGAAGCTGAAGGATCCCTCAGCCTTCAGTCTTGGTGGCAAAGACCCTCTTCAGTGTCTACTCGGTGTCATCAGCCACAAGCTGCTAACTTCTCAGCCCTGCTAGTCAGCCTAAGGAACACCTCAGTGTTACCTGCCTAGTTTTGATTTCCGCCCTCTTGATGATTGCTAACCCTGAGCCAGGCTCAGAGCATGCATAAAACATCACCAAAGACATCACTATTCCTTTTTTTCTATTTAGTCCATTAATGCAGTATTCTTCTTTATTGTTTGATAACTTTATATGTATATATGATGTGTTTTGATCAAATCCAGCCCCCATTCCCTTCCCTCTATTCCTCTTTTGTTCCCTCCTCCATTTTCCCCTGTAACTGCATGTACTCTGCTTTCTAAACCCACTGAACCCACTTAGTGTTACCTGTATATTTATGGGTACAGGACTATAAGTGGATTTTTTAAAATCCCCCCAGTGAGAAAAAAATAGCACTACCCAAATAAAATGACTCAGCTGCATGATCCCATGTTAGAAGCCCAGACACTCTGCTTTTGATCAGTCTACGAACAGCTTGGCTTAATTATCTTGTATTTTATCACTATACAAGTGCTACACACAGAATCGGGGCATACAAGATCTGATCTTTCTGTGTAAATTAAATAAGGATCCAGATACTGAGAAGTGACTAAATTTGGAGGGAATAAAATGGGATGTGAACCATTTTACCACTTCAGAGTGAATTATATAGTATAGTTCACTCAGAGTACTGTACACGACTGATATTCACTTAGGTTACCTTACTATAAACACTGGGATTTTCCAAGTCTGAAAAGACCCTTGACAATGTAGAGGCTAACAGCTTCCTCTGGAATATTCAGGAAGCTATTTCAAACCTGTCCACTTGAAACAGGGCTATGGATTAGTTTGATATATCTGGATAGGGCTTTGTATTGGAATTCTCTGCTTTGAAACTGACAAATTCTAAGTCATTGTCTATTCCAAGTTTTTGCAATGGTGCACTGGCATGTTCTGAAAACCTTTCTAAAAGAAGGGGCCAAAGGAATGTGTGACATAGTCTACTGTGGCCTGATAGGCATGGAGAAGCTCGTCCTGCCTGAGGTCTGGCCTGTAGCCAAGCCACAGGTCCTTAGTGCAGTTGAAGTCCTTCTGAGTTTGACCTAGCTCTTCCATTAGTTCAGTTCACAGGCAACAGAATAGTAAATTACTCACAGAGATAGAACTTGTGACCGATTCCCAGTTGGTCTCTGAGGCTGCTGCGGGTTGGAAATCTTCCTAAAAGGCAAAGGAACATTCATGAGTCAGTCAACCCTCTGTTCAATTCATTAAGTGCCAGTTGCAACATCTCTGCCTTCTGAATCTCTTTCCAAATAAGTGACAACAGAAATAGGGCTCCATTCTTCGTGAGCGGGTCACCATGTGTCTTAAGTATGTCTCCACAAGAACCCTTCTTACAGACACGCACAACTGTGCTAACACTTACTTGTAAGTTCTGGTAAAATAGGAAATGTGCAGACAAACTTTCAAAAGGCAAACTTTCAGCTACTAGTATATGACTTCCTTAACCTCTTCTAATCCCTCTCTTCATCTGTAACAGGCTAGGATATTTAAATTGCAGGGATGTTTCAAGAATTGAATGAATGCATTAATTGGGTAATTATAGCTGGCATCAAGTAAGTGTTTAATGCAGAGAAAGAATAATTATTATCATTATTGATATGCATTAGGTTTAAAGAAGGTTCTGAATCATGATCAATTCTGCCTGCTGAGCTAGTCTCAAAACCAATGATCTTTTCAAAGATTAACTTCTACAGGCTGTTCCTGACTCTTAAGAAATGTCAGGAAGAATGGAAGGTTGAGAAAATATCTGTGAAAGTGACAAGAAGACAGTACAGAGCCCCCCTGAGAAAGATGTCACAGACAAGCCTACAAGGATTGAAACAGCAATGAACCTCACAGTAAGACACATCTCCTAAGGTCATCTTATCTTCCATTTCTATGTGACTTTCACACTGACTACCCCAACACCAGTAAGTCAAAACACATACATACATACATACATACATACATACATACATACATACATACAAGGAAAGAGAGCTGACCCTACCATCTCTACCTGCCACATGTGGTTTCTTAAAGCCTCTGCTAAGATAAATCACCTTGGGGAATTCCTTCCAGTCTGACCAGGGAGTTGGAGGCATTTTGAGATAATACTGAAAAATATTCAGTGTCTCAAGTCTCAAGCTTATTTATCTAAGTGTACTCAGTGAACGAGAGCTGCGAATCAGATCTAAATTTCATTCATATTTTGAAGAGCCAAGAGTACATTTGTTAAATTGCTCATGATGAGATTAGTTTATACATAAACGTCAGCGTTGAAGAAAATGTCAGCTCTTCACCTGGAGAGAATTGAGCCAAACAGGAATCTAGGAAACTGAAACGGCTGTTCACCATTATTCTAATCTCAACCTCAGGGATGACAGTAAAGAAACAGAAAATATGTAATAGGTGCATTTAGCAAGACAGAATATGCACAGAAAGGATTCTATGTTCCTGCAGTTGAAGGATGCTACAAACAAATGGGGTTCACATCTATATGAATCTCTGGGAAAGCAGTGAGAGGTGACACTGGGAACAAGGCAGGGGAGCCAGTGCTTTTTACTTCTGACAAGATTATTGTAGAAGGATTCACTGCTAAGCTTATTTGTTCATTTTCATCACTGTAACCAAGTACCTGAAACCGAGTCCTTAACAAAGAAGGAAGCGTCATTTAGCTCAAAGTTTTGGAGGCGGAGAAGTCTAAGATTGGGTGTAGACCTCTATATCAGGCCAGTGGCAAGAGACTAATGGCAGGTGAGAACACGATGTGGCCTGTGTGAGAGGGAAAGACCACAGCCCAAGACAGGAAGCTCAGAGGCTGAAGAACAGTATTAATCCCAGTGACAAATGACATCACACTAAGCCCCAGCTGTTAAGAATCCTAACATCTCTTAACATTGCCACCCAGAGAATCAAGCTCCCTAGAGAAGAGTTTTATAGCTCACACTGAAGCCATAGCCAAACCATAGCACCAAAGGAAAGAGCATGAGCAATTTCTAGATCATAAGTCTTTTATTTTCACTAGTTCATATAACATTTTTTAATGACCTGCTATTTGAATATACTTTCTAAACTGAGGTGGAATCATGAGAAAATGAGACAACAGCTCTTTGCTCAAGAAGTTTGAAATGTAAAAAAGCACAAAAACAAATTCAGGATGTGGAGAAAGGGGAATGCTCAGTCACTGCTGGTAGGATTGCAAACTCATGCAGCCTCTATGGAAAACAGTGTGGAGAATGCTTAGAAAACTAAAAATGAACCTACCATGTGACCTAGTTATACCATTCCTTGGCATATACCTAAAGGACTCATCCTATTGTATAGACACTTGTGAAACCATGTTTGTTGCTGCTCTTTTCACAATAGCTAAGAGATGGAAGCAACCTAAGTGCCCCTCAAATGACAAGTGGTTAACAAAAATGTGATATATTTACACAATGGAGTTCTATTCAGCAGTAAAGAAAGATGAAATAATGAAATTTGCAGGTAAATGGATGGATCTAGAAACTGTTATACAAAGTGAAGTAACACAGACTCAGAAAAACAAACAACATATGTTCTCCCTCATATGTGGCTCCTAGCACCAAATCCTTTCAAAATTTCAGGTCCTTTTAATGCAGTCCCTTCTGCATGAAATAACTACCATCATCACAACTTTGGCTGAGCCTGATCGCTAAACATAGTCACAATTGGGTTTGTTGACGGTTGTGCTCATTCATTAAGGAGGGCCAAGCAGGGTCACTGGACCCTCACCTGAGTATCCAGCCACTCTTCCCAGCCAACTAGTCAAGCTTTGGAAGACAAAAGAAAAATGAGGAGGAACACAATAGAGGGATGCTTTTGGAAGCCCTTGTCAAGAAACTCCAGTGGACTCTCATATGAATATTGGAAAATTTCCCTGTTCTGACTTTTCTCTAGTTCCCTGTCTAGAACTTGTAATGCTAATTACTTTTGCTTTTTCTTCTTCATGTCGCCTATTCCTGATTCAAGGACTTCTTTTCCCCTTAGAGACAAGAGTTAAGCAATTTGGGAGTCTTTTAGATAGACCCACTGAGAGGGTACTCCAACTGCCTCACCCTGCATCCCTGTTCAGCATGGAAGAAGCCATTGCGGTGGGTGTCCCTATTCCTTATTGGCAATTTGGGTAACCCCTTCAGAGGATGGTGTGATAAGAATAGTAAGTAGGAATTGGCTAGGCAATTAAGGTAAAAAGACCGCAAAGAAATGTAGCAAGTTTTTTGGCTAAAAATCAAAATGTCCTTGGTCCTGTTAACAACATACTGTTCCAAAGGCCAAAAACATCAAAAGTATTTGGGAGCAAATATCTAACCCTATTTTAGGGCTACCTCTTCAGAGGGGGGAATGTTGGAGGGGAGGGAGCAATAAAGTTTTGTAAAAGTTAAAAAAAAATTGCCATTAGTTAAAAGTGACCAATTTTAAATTAGCTTATAAAGGGAACAGTATCTGTTATGATAACAAGATACTGAGCTTCCAAGACTTTAGCCCCCAAAGGAGAATCTCAGTCTCCGGGAGGAACACAGGGTTCTAATTTCTAAGGTCATCTTCAGTGTCATCGACATCATTCTTCATCTCTTCCACTAAAATGTCTCAAGCTCATCACACAGGAAGTCTCTTGGCCGCCTGCTCCTGTTCCTTGAATGTTCTTGTTCCCATGAAATCAACATGGTGTTCTAATGTTATACCAAATCCTTCCTATCTTCCCCTTAAAGCCACCCAATAGTTTTCCACTGAAGTCAGTTTCTACCCTGTTTGTATGACTTCATTTCTGGTGACCTTCTGATTGGGTAGTCTACATTTCCCATTGTCCATATGACTATATCTGGTATACTGGTTTTACAGTCATTCAAATAGCTCCAAAGCTTCTTTTCCTCTTAATCTGATGCTGTTCCCTGTACCTGGAAGCACTTTCCTCAAATGTTCTCAGAGCTGGCTTTCAACTTTAGTTGTTTGCTAAAATACTTGATCTTTAGAGAGCACCTCTTTTCATTAAGCATACCTCATTCTCATTCTAGCTTCTTAGCATGTTTAATTTCATTAAAATTTTTATGAGCATCTAAAATGATCTCATGTTTCCTTGCTGATTACTTCATCAACTAGAATGGCAGAGACCATGCTCCTCTGTGTTCTGTTCTAGCTCAAGCACCTAGCAGTGTCTTGGGTGACACAGTCTCATTTCTCTAGCCTCTAGAGTACACTTAGGCATGATCAGTATTTCATAGACTAGTATCTACATAATACAGATTCTATGATTTAAATATTGCCCTGTATAGACTGCTTGTTATTAAGGTCTAGGCTAATGAGAGACACTCCTTTTTCTTGAGTACTTAGCAGAACACATCACATGAAGCAATGCTAAAATAAAACATTCAGTGAATAATCATTTGAAATGTGTCAAAGCTTTGCAGTGTAAAAAGAACACATTTCTGTTCTTTGTTAAAGCACGTTTATGCAAACACTTTAAAAGCCAGGTCCTGTTTTTCTGGGGAGAGAGAACTATTTGCTGGATCCAAGAACCTGGTGCAGATTCAGCTCTTAGTTTCCTTCCATTCTGTTCTGAATTCCAGTACCCATCTCAGAATAAAAAATCTGATGACTTGATTACTTTCTTCCCTCGTTTTGTACAGGGAATCTGAACACTTTGGTATTTGGCTTATTGAAATCATCTGGGGATTCAGAGACTTCCCTGCAGAGTGGAACAAATTCAACCTCACAGAGTCAAACGAAGTACCCAGCACCCCATTACTGGAGTGAAGACTAGACCTCAACTAGCTACTGTGCCTCCTGTAAAAGCAAATTATTTCCAACTTTGCAAATAATGTTATATGTCATAATATAGTTAGTTTTTTAATCACTAAACATCATAATTTAGTCTCGGTTTATGTCCTCACATTTAAAAGTTCACAATTATATTTTGCCAGTAAAACTCATTTGGAATGCTGAAGTCCCTCATTCTCTGTATCTTATTCTTTGGAGGAGTTTCAAAGGCACAGATATGATTCTCAGACATACACTTCAGTATCTTAGTATACATAGTTTGGTGTGATGGACTAGAGGTTGGGAAGATATATAAAAATCAAATCTTAAAGCACTACATGAAAATAGAGGTAAATATTTATATAAGTGGGGTGGACTATTTGTTTTAAATTTTAAAC